TTTATTTAGTTGTATAATGTGGAAATTGTTTCTCAAAAGCTTGGTTGTAATCTTCATTTTTGACAGCAAAGCCTTTTTGTTTGATGTCTTTCAGTCTCTGTTGTGCAATTTCGTTTAAGGGGTTCTGTTTGTTTAGCTTTTAGTGCATTGTATTATTATTATTTAGATTATGTTTTAAAATAAAGATATAATCTAGTCATGCTACTGTTTTTTTTAAATTTGTTTTAATAACAATGCCTACTAGAGATGTGAGCTGCATTTCAGTAATAAAACTTTTCTAATAACCTGTTTTCAACTCTCTAAGTTGAATTATTCAATTTGAGGATTCTTTCTAGAAATTTTTAAATCATTGTTTTGAAAATGATTATCCAGGTTGTGACCAAAATGAATTGTTCTCTCTTCTGCACATCTTTCTCTGCCTGATAACTGTATGGTTTATCCTCAGTTGGCCTAAAGAAAAACCTATGGGAAAATGCTATTTCATAGGCTTGTATAGCACTTCCTATTCAATAATACAAGCAGTATTGATTTTGTGGAAAGAAAACTGAGAAAGGAAATAAAAGGTGAGCACAGATGGCTACTTTCTCGTTTTGACCACTCTTGGTTCTGCCCACTAGGCTAAATCTGTGCCCAGTTTCATAAGGTAGACTTCTTAGGACATTCTAGCCATACCATGTAAAGTGGAGGAGTACAGGAGATGGTATTCCAAGATGTTTATCTATTTATAATTTCAGTGTCTGATGCTAACCATTTGAGAATTATTCTATTGTAGAGTACCTCATTCCTCTCCTCCCTTCTTGTTCTTGTGCGTGCATCATATGTTATATGGAATTGGTCATGTTAAAAATGCTGTAATCTCTTTTATTTTAATTCTTTTACTTTAATCTGTTGCTAGTAAGAGGGGGATACTCATGGTCCTCAACTTACAACTATCTGTTTGGCAACTCTTTGAAATTGCAATGACATTGAAAAAAATTATTTACGATTGTCGGTCCTTGCCTTACAATCATTGCAGCATCCCCACAGTCATATGGTCAAAATTCAGGTGCTTGCCAACCAGTATTGTTAGTGTCTCAGGGTCATGTGATTGCCATTTTACAATCTTCCCAGCCAGCTTCCGACCAGCAAAGTCAATGGAGGAAGCCAGATTCATGTAATGACCATATGATTCAACTTAAGTACTGCAGTGATTTGCTTAATAACCATGGCAAAAAGATTGTAAGACAATCACCTTACTTAGCAACAGAAATTCTGGTCTCAATTATAGTTATAAGAAAAGGACCACCGATATGTACCATATAATCATACCACAATAATACCACAAATTGTGGTGGTGCAGTGTTTAGAATGCAATACTGCAGGCTACTTTTCCTGACTGCTGGCTGATTGCAATTTGGAAGTTCGAGTCTCACTGGCTCAAGGTTGACTCAGCCTTCCATCCTTCCGAGGTGGGTAAAATGAGGACCCAGATTGTTGGGAGCAATAGGCTGACTCTGTAAACGCTTAGAGAGGGCTGTAAAGCACTGTGAAGTGGTATTCAAAGTGCTATTGCTATAATCAGCTCTTTTTTCCTTCTTTACTCTCAGGTAGTGTTTTGTTCTAGGTCAGGGAGAGGGAAACTTGGCTCTTTTACCACTTAAGGACTTCAAGTCCCAGAATTCCTAAGTGAGCCATAAAAGCTTCCCCATCCCTGGCCTACTGGTTTTTCAGTTGTGGGGGAAATCAATTTTTGACTTGAATGGGACTGTTTAATATACAAATATAGGACATATTCTTTATATGCCGTTTATATCAGTGGCCCCCAACCTTTCTTGAACCAGGGACCAGTTTCATGATTATTTATTCTTCCACGGACCGGTACCTGAGTAACGCGAGACTCCACCGCCATCGGGACAGCTCTTCGTTCGAAGCCGCCCCCCCCTTTGACAAAACTAAGGTGTGAGCACCCAAATGCCACTTTCCAACTGAAAGCCCGGAAGTACTTTCCAACCGAAAACCCGGAAGCAACCAAAAACCTGGAAGCGCTGTTGAAACAAGATGGCGGCGCCCAAGCTTTGCGGCCCAGTAAAAAATGATCCACGGACCGGTACTGGTCTGAGGACCAGTGGTTGGGGACCCCTGCTTTATATGTCCTACATTTGTATATTAAACAGTCCCATTCAAGTCAAAAATTGATTTTCCCCCCAACTGAAAAACCAGTAGGCCAGGGATGGGGAAGCTTTTATGGCTCACTCAGGAATTCTGGGAGTTGAAGTCCATAAGTGGTAAAAGAGCCAAGTTTCCCTACCCCTGTTCTAGGTGGACATGAAGGTGTCTTAGCGTTATCAGAAAGGGTTCCCTACTCATTTTAATCAACTTTTGTACCTGAATCTGAGGAAAGGAAGGTGCCATCTTGGTAGTCCCTCCCAGATAGCAACATATACGGTATTTTGGACCCGCCTGCTGAGATTAGAGATTAAGGAGGAGTCTCCTTTTTGTGCTGCCTGGGGAGACTTTTGTACTCAAGAAGGCTATGATAGAAACATAGGAGCTGTTCAGTAGATTGTGGTTTCAGAATGCTTCTATGTTCCTTCAGCCTATTTCCTGATTCTCAGTATTGTAGAAGGCCTGGCTGTGAGACACTTGACACTGGCTTGGCAGGATGTTTCCTGCTGCATCCTGGCTGGCTGTGTGTGTGTGTGTGTGTGTTGGTGGCGGCAGCAGAAGGGGTCATGCCGAAGAGGAAAAGTGGAAATAACTAAAGATAGCTTTGTGGCTGAAGATAGCCTTTCCACTGTTTGTCTTTTTCCCCTCGGGCCCTCCCTGTCTGTTTTGAATGATATGAAAGAAATCTCCTTTCTTGTCCCCGAAGGGCTTTTCCAGTTGACCTCTTATTATTGTTGCTTGTTGTGCTGATGCTCTGCAGTTTTGGAGTCCAGTTTATACTTGCTTTTTCGTTTGCAGCAGCTGGGTCCCATTCACATGCAGATATATGGTACAAGTGGAAGAAAAAGCAGCTTTCAAGCATGCGATCAGTCCAAGAATTTGTGAAACACTGGAATATCAAGCTTACATATCATTTCAATCAAACCCTGTTCTTGGTTTTCTCCCAAGCGTTCTTGATGAACAATCTGATGAGGAGTTAACAGACAAATTTTGAATTATTGCTATTATTATTACTCAGTTTAAACAACTAATGCTTCTGATCTACTGTAGATTACTCAAGCATCAGTTAGTAGGTTCTGATTTACCTTCTGTCCTTCCTCTGTAACCCCATCACCACTGATTTTGGCCGTTGTGAGAATTAGTTTTCACACAGTCACACATAAACACAAAAGAACAGGCTGCTACCCACACAAGGAACAAGTACATCTTCTGCCAACAAAACAGATAATTGCTTTTAGACTTGTGTGTAGAGCTGGCAGGAGCAAGCAGTACAAGAAACTAAACATTGGCTGTTCTATAAGCAGAGCTTGCATTCACTGGAATTCGTTTATAATGGGTTCAAAGTTTGGCTACAACAAGCCAGCTTATCTGAGCCTTCATGTCCTGCAAAATATATTCTTGGTGGAATTTTGTTTTGCTAGCTGAGAGAGAGGCCCATTAGTTGTTTTCAACATGGAGATCTACAGTACTGTACATGCTGGCTGGGGAATTCTGGGAGTTGGAGACCACATATCTTAAAGGTGCCATTCTGGGAAGGCTTTGAAGCACTTTTATGAACAGTAGCAACTATCTCAGTTGTTATGTCAGAGGAAAGGCCAAGGGATCATTGTGATATATTTGTGTGTCGCTGTTCTTCCAGAAAGGAATCAAAAGCAGCATTGAAAAATATATTATCCCACTCACAATGGTACTATGTTAGACGGAGAAATATGGCTGCTCATGCAAAATATCAGCAGGGCTTTGAATTCAAGTTTAATATTTACAACACATTGATTTAAAGGCCTAACTAAACATTCTGTTCATCACAAAGTAGGATAAACTCAGGACATCAAAGGAAAAAGAAATGTTTTCAGCCTGAGGAGCAGCATCTGGCAATGATGATGACATGAGATCACTGAAGCAGGGCTCTCTGGCTTGGGCAGAATTTTAAGGGGCAAATCACCAATTTTGTCTCTTAATGCTTTAATTTTCAGGAGTTTCTCAGGGTTTTGAAATGGGTGAATTAAAATATTGCCAGTTTTAAGAAACCACATTTGCCATTTAATGGTCTTCCATATCCCCAAGAGTCATCAGAGCGTATTTTAGGGCCTGATGATGGAATCTGGAGAGATCTATTGGTCTATGACCTTTTCAGTCTGCTTTTTTAGATTTCTCTTTTGCTTAGTCTGTGTGGGATTCTGTCTACCTTTGAGACTCAAGGGTGTTATTTCCTGCTGTTTAAACAGCACTGAAAAAAGAGTGGTAGGCATCTAATCTGCTCATTTTATTTCCACCTTCTCATCTTTGATGTCTCTCCTCTTCCTTCTTACCTGGGGGCCATGCTCCATGTACTTGGCCAAATGCGCAATGTTTAATAGCAAGCAAAATGCTTTCAGTTGAGTTGTAGGATGGATCTATAGGTTGGTTATCACACATTTCAGAAGGTATAATTGTATTTCTTATCAGCATATTATCTGCGGCTTGCTATTTCAGTGATTCAACCTTCTCGTTTGCAATGGGTGTAAATCAAATTAATAAATAGGCTCATAATAGCATGAACCGGAGAATGAAATCAGAGATAAATGCAGGTATTTGGATTCAAGAGTGTGAGGGGTCAAATTTTGTTATTGTTGTATACTTCTTTCCCACTCATTTTCTGCTTGAAGGCCAGGTCATATCCTTTATTTGATTAGATCTGGCCTGAAGAAATATGGTCAATTCTACTGAAGACTGATTTTGTTTTAAATGCAAATAATTATTTGCTCTTCTGCTCTTTTGCAGAATTACTTTGGCTTTGCAAGTGTTTTCTGCAGCTGTTGTACGGATGCAAATCAGCAATCATCTAGTGATCATTTTCTTCTGTTTTTCATCTCCAGGCACAAACCATGAATTACGTTGGACAGTTAGCAGGGCAGGTCTTTGTGACAGTGAAGGAGCTCTATAAAGGATTAAATCCGGCCACGTTGTCTGGATGCATTGATATCATTGTTATCCGCCAGCCTAATGGAAACCTCCAATGTTCACCTTTTCACGTACGCTTTGGAAAGATGGGAGTTCTGCGTTCCAAGGAAAAAGTGGTAAGGAACAACAACAAAAAATCAGCTTGATTTTTCTTGGTCGGATTACTCTTTGTCCAGAATATTGCAAAAAGAAGGGTTTGCATTTGTTAAATTGGTAAGATGTTGAATATGGGTGCATGGATTGTAACAATTGGAACCAAAAGTGCTTTTTTAAAAGGCAACTGGACTTGTTCCTTGAAGAACAAGTTTTGCTTCTCATCCAAAAAACTTCTTGGATCAGAAGTGAACTGTCTTCAAGGAAAATCCTTGCCTTTGTTTAAAAAGCACCTTTGGGACAACCAGGATCTGGATGGCTGAGACTCTCTGTAGACTTTCTATCATTTTCCCTGGAGAAACTCCCACCCTCCTATTTCATTTGCTTTCCAAAAAGGGAATGGTGGCTGCAGCCATAAATAGCAACTTGTCAATCCAGCCTACGACACTCTGGAGGAGAGCTCAGGTGTGTGTCTGACAGCCATTTAATCTTTTTTAAAAATACAGTTGATCTATAACACTTGAAGGAAATCAAAGGATAATGAGTCCAAATAAAGAAACACTGCCTGGGGATTTCTTAAAAAGAAGTTATCAGTATTTTCAGCAAGTGACAGAATTATGTGAGTTACAACTGCTGTGAGTCAGACTGATTGCTTACTCAGGAATCATTTGTTGTGCATAAGGGCTTTCATCAGCTATCTAGCAATGAATGCTTATTTAGTTACTCACCTCAGCCTATCCCTTGATTAATGACTGCTTTAAGCTCTTTTATGAACTTTATATAATGTGGTTTTAACCACGTACTGCAGAACTTGTATTGAAACAAGTAGATTTAAATGATCTTAAATCAGATGTCACTTGAGGTAAGTAAATGATTCTTTATTTTTGCTAGATTATGGTCGTTGCTCCTGTTACTTGGTGTAGTATAATGACTAATAACATCTGAGAAGTTCTGGATTCAGACATTATTATCTGAGTCTTTCACAGAACTTAAGGCAGTTTTTCTCATTTTTAAAGGCATACGAGCTGCAATGGCACAGTGTTTAGAATGCAGTACTGTAGGCTACTTCTGCTGACTGCTGGCTGCCAGCAGTTTGGCAATCCGAATCTCACTAGACTCAAGATTGACTCAGCCTTCCATCCTTCTGAGGTTGGTAAAATAAGGACCCAGATTGTAGGGGGCAATAGGCTGACCCTGTAAACTGCTTAGAAAGGGCTGTAAAGCACTGTGAAGCGGTATATAAGTCTAAATGCTGCCATTGCTATAATCAACCTTAATAGAAATTGCTGACATAATATGAAGTGTTTTAACAACTTGGACCCTGTTGCTATAAAATGGGTAAAAAGTTCTTTGACTTAAGGAATGAACATGACATATTTTCTTGAGGATATTTTTTTAATCCATGTACTTTTTGTATTCTGTCTTTCTCAAGGTTGACATAGAAATTAATGGAGAATCTGTGGATTTGCACATGAAATTAGGAGACAACGGAGAAGCATTTTTTGTAGAGGAAACCGATGACAAAGAGGTGAGACCAGCCCACCTTATGAATTTTGTTTGTCATAACAACACAAGGGATTGATGTTTGTTTTAAGAAATCAATTGTAGGATTATCTACTCTATTAAGTTTTTTTTTGTCATATAGGACTAGATTTATGTCTAAAATAGCCACTAGTGCATATTCTTCAACTTATTTCAAAGAACTATGTTAGGTAGTTGCTAGACATTATGGAAGAAAATTAGGGTTTTTTAAAACAATTTTCTCTAGTTTTCTCTAGTAGATAAGCCATTAGCAGAGGAAATCTGGCATAGAATATAATGTATGCATAAGATGAATACATTAAATCATCAGGTTTTTTTGCCGAGTTTGCAACATGGTTAACATTTAAAATCAAGGATTATCAGGGCTCACTTCCTGGCAAGCCACAGCTTTTACATTTGAGATATTTTCTTGATTTGTATATTTTGCTGAGTTTGCCTTTTCCAGAAGAATTTCTGGCAAGAGGGCTTTTGGAAAGGATGGATATGTGTGCATATATGTGTATTCGTAATATTTAGGTTTCTGTATATATATACATACCTATTCTGCTGGCCTTGAAAGATTCACTGGTTCAGAACAGATTTGGAGCATATAAATGCACTATTGTTTCATTTGAGTTGACAGATGCCAGGTGTCAACAGTCTTGTGTTTCCTTTCTTTAAGGAGGCAATTCCATACCACTTGGCTACATCCCCCATTTTGTCTGAGGGATCTTCTCTCATGGAATTACAGCTGAAGAGAAATTCTGCTGATAGGTTAAGGAGCATGGACACTGCTGGTCCTTCACAGTTACCAATCCCTACTTCTCCTTCTGCCCCTGAATCCATGATTGCAAGTTGTTCTGTCAAGAAAAGAAGGAAGAGGAGAAGGAAATCCGCCCATAAAATAGATACTTCAAAAAGAGACGAAAATGCCGATACTACTGAAGATGAAAACATGTTCCCTATAGAAATGAGTTCCGATGAAGAAAATGAGCTGCTAGATACTACTTCCAGGTATTCATCTAGAGGGTCTAATTTATTCAGTGTTAATTTTTAATTTCAAGTTGGACAATAGTTTAACATTTAAATATTTTAAATACATTTTTTCTGCTTTTTAATAGTACAAGAACTTTAGAATGCTTATACTTTGTAGCTTTTATTTTGATTAGAGTCACAGGATTACAGTATTATGGTTATCTTGTGGAGTTTAGTTGAAAAGCAAAAGGTTATGCATGCTGTCATTTATGTTGTATTGGTTTCTTTTAAAAAAGTTTTATTTGGGTTTTCACACATAGAAAATATAAGTAAAACATCTTTTTTGAAAATAGCATGGTCCCGGGTTGAATTTCTTTATACAGACACAAAACTCAATTTCATGCTCCTTTTTGTGTTCTATTCCATATCTTATACTATTCTACATTTTTTATATAGTTTTTCCCTTCTTTTAATTTTCTCAACTTTATTTTGATTATCTCATCTCAATTATCATTATATTTGTACTTTTGCCTGTTCTGTTTCAATTTCATATTATCTTTTCTCATTAAACAAATTTTCTCCTGTAGTTACGAATTGGAGTATGACACCTTTATATCTTTTAATTACATCCATTCAACTCTTATTTAAACTTCAATATATACCTTAAAGTTATGACCTTCAATATAATACTTAATACATAACTTCCAATCGAATTCTGCTTGGTACATTCTTATAATACACACTATATTCTTTAAAAAAAAGATTATAAATATATGTAATTATAAACCCTCATTCCATTCCATTTCAGTTCTAACATTAATAATCATTAAAATCTTAACATCTTTAACACTTCTTTTCAATTAAATATCATACTTCCTTAAAAACACATATAATCTCCATAATTAATTTTTCCCTTATTTCTCTTCACGTATGTTTTGTAAATCATTAAATATTAATTTTGTTACATTTGTTTATTGACAAGCATTCCACTGAATTACAATAGCTATTTTATCAAACATTTTAATCATACATTTTCTTTGTACTTTTAAAGTTCCATTTTCAGTTCTTCTAAAAGTGGAGCCATTTTAAACAGTTTTAAACAACCACCCGATTGATTTTAGTCATTCAAATACCATAACCAAAAATCCAGAAATCATCAAGTAATCCAAATAGTCCCGAGTTATTTCTTCTTATTTCTTTTCCCACTTTCTCTTCCTGGAGTTTTTGTTGCGATGTTTCAGTTAAAATGTATCTTTTGGAGGTCTTGTTGAGATTTTGCTGTAAGGTCTTTTTAATTCCAGGCAGTCTCCTCCCTTTCACATCCTGCCCTTTTATTCTTTTTCTCTCCTTTCCTGTTTTCAAAAGCTTTTGATTATCCAGAAATTTTTATTATCCCTTTGACTTTTTATTTTCAGCATTAAATGCCTATTAATGACAAAGTGGATTTTTTTCCAATTTCTTGCTTAAGTCTCTTAGCTGTCAGTATAGGAAAAGGAGAAAAAAAACCCCAAATCTTTTCCCTTTCCTCTGTCCTTCTCAGCTTAAAAATCTTCTTAGGGAACAATGTTATTGTTTTTTTTTAATAGTTTCAATTCCAGGGTACCTTATTTGTTGCTTTTGTTGTTTGACCCGGTCAACCAAAACTCTCTCTTCTTATCTTCCTCTTGCACATTCTTTTCCGGTTGAGGTCTTCTTTGTGGTGGCCATTCCTGACCACTGTTACAACCGCCTTTGGGAAAGGGAGTAATGGCCAGCTGGGGAGAAGAGATGCGGCTCTCCTCAACCCTGCAGGCAGTCTCCCCCTTCTTCACCACCTCTATGAGGTGGCTTAGCACTGAAACCAGCCAGCTCGGGGTGCTCCAGTGGCGAGCACGGATCGAAGCCTTGCAGAGATGAGGTTTCGGTCTGTCGCTGAAGAAGCTCAAACCGGAAGTCCCCCATTTATGTTGTATTGTTTTTTTAAAATGGTGTGTACATGAATTGCAGCATAGCATCCAAACAATTCGTTGCTCTGATTTTTGTTATTAAATCAACTTTCCTCATAGATAAGTTATTATGCCTATGGACTGCCTCCTACCATAGTTGTCCTTGCTATTGTAGATGCTAGTCTCCCTCTGTTTACTAGTTTCCTTTGTTTCAGAAATAAATATGGGGAATTATTTTTTCCTGCCCAAATGCACAGAAATATTTCATTCATCCATATAGGCAACTTTTTGAAAAATTAGCTGGAAATTTCAAAACACTCCAAAACACTCATTCAGCTTCTGTTGCTGTTTTCTTACATTTATGTTTTGTAACAGCAAAGGGACCTAATATTTGCAACAAGTTCTTGAGTAAAAGGATTCATGAAATTAGATAAAGCTGATGAATGTGTAAAAATATTGTGCCTAGAGAACAGTGGTTGACTGAATATTTTCAACTAGCAGTTGAGAGATGCTTCATCCATGTTTCTTCAGAATCAATGTCTTGCTACCAATATATGTATTTGTAATATTTCACAATACCTTTTTTTAAAAAAAAAACATGCACAGATGATCAAAATGTCTAAGTAAAGTTGCCTATTTATTTTACCCCTCCCTCAGCTGATTGTGTTGTGGTATATCTGTAATTTTGAAGCGTTATACTCCTGTACTCTTTCAAAATAAATTACTGTATCTCATTAAGTGAAAACAAGATGAAAAAAACAGCAAATAAGATAATAACACCATCTGTTTGCTCCATTGAATTTATAATGAACAATTACTAGAACATTTTAAAGAGTTCATCTGGAAAGAACTTCAGACATGATATATGATATGATCAGGAATGGGCTTCAAACATTTTAGCAATGGGTTCTCTGCCTGGTTGCTGGGTGGGCGTGGCCTCTGGGAAAGCGAAAACAGCCTCCATGGGCTCTGGAAGCTTTCTGGAAGCCAGAAATAGGCCCGTTTCCGGCCTTCCCAAACTTCTGGGAGGTCTGTTTTTGCCCTCCCCAAACCTCCACATGTGCCTGCACCCAAAACCTCCACATGCGCCTGCATCCATCCTCTAGCTAAGATTTTGCAGTTCAGAGAACCCCCCAAATCCCACTCCTGGCTGGCCCCGCCCACCCAGGGAGGGGAGGGGCAGGGTGGGCGGAGCCAGCCAGGAGTGGGGCTTGGGGGTTCTCTGAACTGCAAAATCTTAGCTAGAGGATCTCCCGAATCCCTGTGAACCCCATATCCAGCCACCCCTGGATATGACGTGTTGTAACATAATAATTGGTTTTACCAAGAATTCCTAAATCAGGTGGTTATGAGAAATTTAGAAAACACATCCTTTGCCAGAAAGTAGAATCCATTTTTAGCACATTTTCTGAAAGTATCTAGAATCTTTCACAATAGCATCCATGGGTTTAAAATGCATTAATTTTCACATGTTTTTGTTGTGCCATTATTACTGTATGCAATGCTAGTTATGGGCATTTGAAACAAATCCCTTCTTTTTCTGTGTATTGTTCATCTTCAGATCATCTGTCCCTGATTTCTGCAGGGATGAAGACATCGGGGTGGTTTCTTCTATAAATGTGCTTGCTCATCCCCACTCAGATGGAGAATGGACATCCAGACAGAGGTACAGTGCATGTTACCAGGATAAATCAAATAATCTCCACGATGAACCCTTTTCACGCATTCTTCCTTTTCAGACCTATTCAGCAATTAAGGGAAGGACAAGACTTTTCATGCTTCTGGCATGAAAATTTAATCCTATGAGTATCTCTCTGGTTTCCATTCCATTTCGACCATTTACACTTCATTTCAACACTTCCAGTTTCAGTCACACATTCAGGGCTCAGCTATATGTTATATGTGAATGTGTGTAAGCCAATTTCTTTCACCTCAAAGCTGTGGGAAGATGAATTGTTTGGAACAGTTTTTAAGTTGGGAGCTGAGAAGGATTAGTTTAAGCTTTGTCCTTCTAACAGAGTTTGAATACAGATTTTTCTATACATTTCGTATATAACAGGAATGGTTTGATCTCTCATCTTGTTAGGCTTAATTTCAAAAAACTGTTGGCCTAAAGTATCAATTTTTAGGTATAATGTTCTTTTCTTTGGTATAAACATATACAAAGCCTTTATGTCTCCTTAGGATTGAGTGCTACTTCCTTTGAGGTGATTGTGTTACCACAAAGTATAATGGTGCCTCTGCTGTTTGCAGCTTCTTGTTAAGCATTTGTGTAGAGTGGTTTAGTGGTTTCTTGAACTTTATTCTGCCTTCCTGTGTCTTGCATAGAACACTGCTGGATCTTGTCATTTAGAAGCTCACTTTTGCTTAACCCAATTTGGCTGTTTTCCAAGAGGCAGATGACAGCCTCAGCCACACAGGTTGATTTGAAACATACTGCAGGATAATGTGGTCTAATCTTTCTCTTTTTTCCCTCCCTTCCTGCTATATTATGCAATCCAGTAAACCTAGAACTTGCATAGGGAGGTCCTCTCATCTCACTGTTCCAGCAGAGGGAAGCTTATCTAGTTCTTGTCCTGACCGGACCTCCCACTGTCCTGCTGCAGTCAGGTAGAACAGCCAATTGCATTTTTGGATTGGTGATTAACCTTTTAATACTGTTAACGGTATACAAAATGGCTGGACCTTTTCAAACTGATATCGTTTACTAACTCATGGCAGGAAACTGGGAAGTCATTCATAAGGTTTTTGTCTGGGATTTTTAACTCATAGTATTAATTGTACAAAAAATATAAATCTCCCATCAAACAGTAGGTGGCATCTATGTCTGTCTGTGTCTCTCTGTCTCTCTGTCCATCCCTCTATCATCTACCTACCTGCTCTAGATGCTGCACATAGATTTCATGGCACTTGTTGTTTTCTACTCCTTTTCCTTTCTTCAGAATTTTTTCTAATATCCTTCCTTTCACCTTGCCTGTAATTCATTAATTACTGCCTTACATTCTTGGTTTTTCTGCCTTTCCAAAGTTGGGTTTTTAAACTCCAGGTTCCCGATTGCTAGTCCAGCCCTCTGTACTAGCGGAGAAGAGGGTAGTTTTTGATAGCAAGTCAGAAGATTTCGTCGGTGTTGCACAATCAATTTGATATTGTTTTTTCTAATCGTACTGTATTTTATATATATGGTAGATGTTTCCAATCATACTTGCCAAGGGATTTGGGGGCAGAAATGAAACTTTTCTGGTTCTGAGGTTTTTTTTTTTTTCAGTGAAAAGAACCAATTTTGCACATAAAATTTTCATGTCAGAAGAACTATTGACAAGGAAGTGTACAGTAGATCGCTCTTGGCTAGGAAAATGCCAGAATCTACTCCTTATATTAGCATTAAAACCAAACTAATTCAAAATATCTTTCTTAGAGTAACAGGTTCTTACAATTTAACAGTTCTTAAAAAAATGTATGCATCCAATTTATAAGTTTATGAATATATGTAGCAATAGATTATTCTAGACCTCCAAAAGAGCTGGGTGACTTTGAACCAGCCACTCTCGTTCTCATCTCATGTCGCAGGACTGTTTTTATTGGGGGGATAAAAATAGGAGTATTACATATCTTTGCCACCTTGAGTTATTTATATCTATAAAAATAAAATAAAATTACAAGACAGATGAAATAGGTCATATAATTCTAGGATAAGAATCCTTTTCAAAGGAAAGTTAATTTAAAAGTGATTCGTGGCTGTGCAGGACAAGACTGCACCACAGCCCCCAAGACTTCACTCAAATGCAAATTGTAGCCATCACTTTCAACACAGAAAAGTTTAGCTTGATCTTGCAGCTACTGGTAGTTGTGGACGTTTTCCATCTCCGGAAGCTTACTGTCCCAAAAACGTTTTAAGGAAGCCAAAAGTGAGTTGTAGGTTTGCATGAAAAAAAAAAAAGTGTATAAATCAGAAACTGAAATTGTTCTGAAGCAAGAGAAATCCACGGGGGATTGCAAGTCCCCTAGTTAATGGCTTACATCCCTTTTAGGGCGTGGGAAATCTCTAGACTGGCTGACAGCCTCTGTCACAAGGAGGTTTTGTGGCTGGGGTTTCCTTTAACGCTCACTGGCTGGTGTGCTTTTATAGATTCATAACTTCCTTACTTTGGACAGCATTTGCTTCTCCCCCCCCCCCTTTTTTTTTTTTTTTTGGCCTGTGTCTGATGGGAAAAAAAAACTACACTTCCCATTTCTGTGGTTGTTGAGTTTCGTATCAGGAGTGACATTTGAGAGCAAACGGCCATCAGCTCTCTGAATAGGTTTCTTTATCCTTTGTTATTGCATCAGGTTAACGTATGTACACAAGCTGCTCACCTGTATGTTTTCCACATTATGAAACAAGTTATAGCCATCCTTAAATATAAAGAAATAATAAGACTATACTTTAATTCATATTTACCCCGAGGCTATTATAATTTAAATGCATATTTTAATGATATAACTCTATATTCTGAAACATCAGTGCATTTCGCAACCAGGAAAGTTTCTGTAATTTTCAGATTGTATCTAGAGTTTGTAAAAGTAAAACCCAAAGGACAGTAAAAGTCTGTTTTTCTACTTCACTAGCTAGAGGAGGAGGAAAACATGTTCTAGTCATTTTCCTCCATTTGCTTGCAACCCAAATTGCTGATTTTTTTTGTTTTTGAAAGCAGGTTGTAAAATCTAGCACTGATGTTGCTACCTCGTTTGGGTAATGAAAGGAAACTGCAAGGAAACAGCCAAACTTAGAGAGCGCCAAGGATCCCTCAGCATTTGTTCTAAGATAGCCTGTGTGAAAGGGATAGCTTTCTTCCTGGGGATTATTATTGCAACAGAAATGAATGCCGCCTGTAAATAAACATTTACAGTGTGCTTTCAGTTAGGGGTCCACATCTTCCAGGTTTTAGTTTTTTGTTCTGTATTTTTTTTCTGGATTGAAATAGTGGGTCAGTTACTTAGCCTAGTCCCAGCTACGTTAAGATTTTTATTTTTTTCGTCATGCCACTGATTTCAATGAGCAGTTTCCATTCTTCCTCCTGGGTCATTTTACAGCGATTTTTCCAGGGTAAAGGCCTATCTAGCTAATGAAGTTGTTTATTTTTTTCTGCTTTCCTTTCTTCTTGATGAAATTATATATACCACTGGCTATTAGTTTTCTTCCGCCTTAATTTATCCATACTATGTGCCATTGAATAACCACTATATATCGTACCATTTTATCAGGAAATAGAGAGGATCAATGTTTGTAAAGCCCTTGTTTCTTTATGTATAAATGATATAATTTTGACTACATTTCTACTAGCATTAATAATTCCTCCCTCCCTCCCTCCCATTGTACCATGTTATCGTTGTGTGCACACTCTAAAAATTAAATGTAGGCACCAATTTCTTCCTTCCTCCTCAATAATTGACTAATGGTGCCATAACTAGGCAGTGCCCAAATTATACATACTTTAAACATGTAGTTTATTTACTCAACTTGCTCTTTGTACTGCAAGTCCTCTGCTATGGTGCCAGTCACATTAGTGATTCAAACGGATCATTTTGTGTCAGCAATTTTATAAAATAGCCCCACTGAGTGAAGGGATCTGCATGGATTTCAGCAGGAAGGACGACATGTTTTGATTTTGAAGCAGTTTGAGCTTAAAACACCCCATTTCAAGTTCAGACCGATTGTATGGTGTTGAAATGATCTGTTTGAACAAAACCAGTCGTATTCTGAACTTGAAACAAGTTTCTTTTGATCTCAGAAGCCTGTTTCAAACTTGAGACAAAGCTGTTTGGGGTTTTGAATGTTCTAGTAAGATTCCAACAGCGTGTTTCAAATTTGAATCACCTGCCTGGAATTTAAAAGGGGCATTTTGAGCTTGAAACCTTTTGTACAGTTATCCAAAGTCCTGTGCAATTCTGAGCTTAGAGGATAAAAGTCAAGATACGCATACCCGTGTGCTGTTTTTCCTGTTTCAGGAGCCACTGTCTCTGTTTGTGCACATTGCCCGTTCCCATATGTGTCTTCCTTTGCGTGGGCCTATACAATAATAGTCAGCATTATCTTTTGTTGACCTTGTTCAAAGAATGAGAAAAGAAGCCTTTCTGTTTTTTTCCTGGAGGGTAGAGGCATGGTCCTAAAGCTTTTATTTTGCTGTGATCTCTGGCAACTTCCTTTAAAGTGTGCATTCTGTTGAAACTAATACAATTTACCTTTGCATAAGACTGATGACTTGAAAACGTGTACTGTGCCCATTTGGCAAATCATCTGTTGAAAGGGGAAAAGCACAGTGAGTTTACTGTTTGTGCACTTATACATGTTTCAGTGGCTATGGTGCGGTCATACATGTGGTTGAATTCCCAAAGGAAGTCTTTGGAAGTCTCTTTTCTATGTCAAACAGAAGAACTATTAGCTGTTTGTTTAGCTTCAGAATGTTGAATCTCCCTTTAGTTTAACATCATCTTAATTGCCTCCTCTGGCCAGCAGTTTGGGTTGGCTCTTGATCAAGACTTATATCCAAATTGATTTAGTCGGCTTAAGCCCATACAGTATTGGCACTCAGAATAGAAAATGGAGCAGCCTGCTCTATGGTCATGCTCATCCCTCTTCTTCCCTCTTCTTCCTGCAGCCCTTCAGATTCGCGACCTCTCACTCCTAAAAGTGATTCTGAATTAGTCAGTAAACCTCTGGAAAGAAGCGTTGCGAACAATAATCCTCAGATGCATTGGGACTGGGGAGAACTACCTCAAGCCACAAAGGTATGTGAAAAGAAACAAGAATGAGATATTACAGATTTTTTTTAAATAGAACACTTGAAGTTTCTCTTCTGTCTGAATGGGATGTAGAACTCTGAAGTGGCTAATAGATACAGAGGGAAGATGTACATCAAAGGTGTCCAAATTGATGTGGAGGGCCGCATCAGGGTTGGGTTTGACCTTGGGGGCTGGGTGGGTGTGGCCAGCTCGATGTCACTCTTGTTGGGGGCACCCCTCCCAGGCTCCATTTTCAACAGCTAGGCCCTCCTGCAGCACTCTGCCAATGAAAATGAAGCTCGGGAGGTCCCTCCTGAGCTCCATTTTCACTGGCAGAACGCTGCAGGAAGCTGTTGCAGCTGAAAACGGAGCTCAGGGGGGCCTCACATGATCCTTCCGAGCTCCATTTTCACTGGCAGAGGCACCGTGGGCCCGATCCAGCCCGTGGACCTTGAGTTTGACACCCCTGATGTAGATATTACCTTAAACCATAGCTTATCATTACTGTAGTGTTAAGAATATTGGACTGTTAGCCCAGTCTTCTACCTGGTGTTTTGCCATGGCTTTGTAGAGAGGACAAGAATCTATGACACATTTTAGACACATTTTAGTTAGCTTTAATTGTGGTTTGTCCAAACAGCCAAGTATTGTTCATGGTTTAGATACTTGCTTGTTCAGTTAAGCTGGAGTTAAAACTAAGAATAATTTCTGGTTGATACAAAAAGGATGAAGCCAGTGGTGATGCTTCTGCATGTTTTCTTAGCAGTGGCACTTTGAGGAGATGAGACAGGTGGGAATCAAATGTATGATTGCAAAACTAACGTGTGGCATTGTATTTACATCATCGTCATTTATCCTCTGTCACTTTCTGGAAAACACAATAATTGAATATGTGGAAGGAAGCAAAATTGTTGCCTGGTCTGTGGCCTTTAACTTACAAATGGGTTTTTGACTGATTTCCAACACCTCAATTCTGCGCAGAATTTGAGATACTGAATTCACTTAAAATAGTTTTACACTTATTTAGGAGTGTTCTTTGACCAGGATGCCTGATTATGACTAAATAACCTCCAAAATAACTGTACAACTTGGGTTTCCAGAATTATTTCCACGCTTCTCGTGTTCAAAATGTGGATTGAATTACAAGCAGAAGATTGGGTCTCTGTAATAAAGAAATCTAATCCCTTACGCTACATTTTAACTATTTCATACATGGTCCAGAAGAAGGAGCTGAAGTTATGTACTGTTTCGGATACTGACAATGATGCTGTCATATCCTCAATAAGAATTCTCAGTACTGTTCCTTCATAGCATTCAGTGCAAAGATTATCCCCTAGTGGCCTTCCACCCTGCCGCTGCCCAGACTAAGGTGGTGCAACTCTGTCAAAATCATATCATCGTGAGCCTGTACCCCAGGTTATAGTGGCCAACAAAAGTCTAAAAACATCACACCAGAAAGCAAGGCTGCCTCTGTCTCTTTGGAGAATATACTTGCGAGCAAATCCCGATTTGTTTCAGTGCATTTTATGAAACAATCCTAACTGTTAAGAGGGATTTGCCCTGTGGTATATGAGTGCAGCACAGTTGCTTTCATTCCTCACGCTTTGTGTAACTTTGTGTTCTTTTTTTCCCTTTTTTTAAAAAAAAAGTTATTCCCTTTTCTTTTTCCTTTCTAGACTGCCATCCCACACAAGCCAAAAGAATCCAGCACCTCAGTGACTGTGAATCCTTCTGGAAGCACTCACTTTCGAGTCATCCAGAGTACCGATATGGAAGAGGTTCAGCACCTCTCTTCCCTGACTGACCTTGGGCAGGATGAGACGGTGTTGACTGTGGAAGAAATAGAGCTCCTGGCACCCGAAACATCCCAAACAGAGATCGAGACTTTAGGGGCAGCAGCTCCTCCGCTGCCGGCTGGTGAAGAATTAAAGCCAGCCCCAACGTGCTTGATGCAGCCAGCCAGCAAAACAGATTCTCCCTCGAAAAAAAAGGGTATGTATATATATATATATATATAGCACCTTTTGCAACCAAGTATTATTGTCAACAACCTGTTACTAGTGAAATTAACTGGCCTTTCGGGGAAATGAGCTAATGAGGGGAAAAGAGAGAGGAATTTTCCTCCTGAGTCAACAAAAGTGGAATAATAGTCACTTTACATGCAAAGAGGCTTTTCAGGCTTTCCCTTCCTTAAATGGGTTCAGCAGATTCCTTAAGACCAGGGGGACCAAGAGCAAAGATAAGGGCTCAATTCATAGTGTCTAAGCCTTCAAATGGAAAACAGGATACAGGTAGTCCTCGACTTACGACCACGGTTGAGCCCCCAATTTTTTGTTGCTAACTGGAACATTGGTTAAGTGAATTTTGCCCCGTTTTACAATCTTTTGTACCACAGTTGTTAAGTGAATCACTGCAGGTGTTCAGTTAGTAGCACAGTTGTTAAGTGAACCTGGCTTCCTTGTTGTCTTTGGTTGTCAGAAGGTTGTAAAAGTGGATAGCATGACCCTGGGACACTGCAACAATTGTCATGAATTTGCAGATAACAGATACAAACCCAATGTAAACCGCTCCAAACTGGGTTGCAGAAAGTACGACTTTAGCAACAGAGTGGTCAATGCCTGGGATGTACTACCTGACTCTGTTGTTACATCCTCTAACTCGCCACTCCTTTAACCTCAAACTAACCACTATTGACCTCACCCCATTCTGTAAGGGGCGTGCATAAGTGCACCATCGTGCCTCCCGTCCCTGTCCTATTGGCCCCATTTATTCGTACCTATTTCCTGTATTCTTACTCATGTTTATACTTATACCTATTATCTTATAAGCGATTGACAAATCAAAATAAAAAAAATATGAGTCTGTTGTTAAGCATCCAAATTTGGATCACATGACTATGTGGTCATAAGTGTGAAAAACAGTCATAAGTCACTTTTTTCAGTGCCACTGTAACTTTGAATGGTCACTAAATGATCTGTTACAAGTCAAGGACCACCTGTAAACTGTACTGTGAACCATAGGTTTGCTGTAATGGAGGAACGCCTAAATAAGAAAGCAGCCACAAAATTCCATGCTTGAGGTACAGCTTTACCTGCTTAATCTCATTTGCCAATCCATTTCTGAACCCACAAAACTTATTGTAATCTGAGTCTCTTATTCCACTTTTATTCTGTGCCACGAGTTTTATTCTCCTCTTTTAATGAACTATGATTTGTTTCTTTTGTACCGTAAGCTCCTGATAAAAGCTGTGGTAAGTGGATCAAAGAAGTTTTTACACCCTTTTGGTCCTTCAAAGGAGAAAAATGTGCTTGCTTAAAGTCCTGTGCAATAATAAGATTTTGCATTTTACAGATAAACGGAGCCGACATCTTGGTGCTGATGGTGTATATTTAGATGATCTGACTGACATGGAGCCAGAGGTTGCTGCACTCTATTTTCCTAAAAAGTATGCATGCTATAAACTGACATTTACCATTTATAGAAATAGCTTTCTCGGGATCTTGTGTCTCCCATGTACAAAATTCTGTCCTTTGTGGTTTTGAAGGAAATCTGTACCTCGCTGAAATTTGTCTAAAATCACCAAGCCAAAACTTGGTTTTTTTTCCCCCTCTTATTAAGACAAATTCATTTTTAAAAAGTGACAAATCCAAGAAATAAAATGAAAGGATCGTGCAAAAAAATATTTGCTGGAACATTATCATACCTCTTCAGCTCTGGTGATAGATGAGCATCTTTTTTGAACAAACATCAAACATAAAACTCCCAGTGCTATGTTGTTTGTTATAAAAATTAGTACCCATTCAAAAGACGCACAGAGAAACTTTGGACTGTACATTGGCTGTTCAAACAAAAAAAAAAAATTTTTTAAGCCACCGGAGTAAGACTAGAAGCATGCATTGAAAGTGATTTTTTTCCAAGCATGTTACCTAGAAGCACTTTTATTTGAAGACTAGGGGCTGGGCCTCTGCACTGCTGAGGTCGACAGCGCGATTCCCATGAGTGAATAAATCTCAGAGGGACTAGAAAGAAGCCTCCCCCGACTGCCTACCAGCCTTTAGGCGTCTCATGGGTAAAGATAACACAGCTTGAAAAAAATCCTTTCACAGCCAGCCAGCCACCTACCTCGGTGATCTTTGGCTAACACGTGCCATACGCTAAATAAATTTAAAACTTCAATAAGTCTTTGAAGGCTTTAAATCACACAACCAGAGAGATTTCCTGTAGTGTTTGCTTAACCTATCAAGGCGGAGAAGTAGGCTAGATGAGTCAGATGATGAAGTTCATGAGCCCTCTGGCTCTGGAAAGGAGTAGAAGTCACTGATTCTTCTTCTCTTCTCAGCGGTGATCATATTCCCCACTCGAAGAACACGTGTGAAAACAGTCCCCGCTCAGCCAATCAATCCCCTCAATCAGTCGGAAGCTCAGGGGTGGACAGTGGTGTCGAAAGCACTTCGGATGGAATCCGAGACCTGCCATCCATTGCCATTTCGCTTTGTGGCGGGCTGAGCGACAATAAAGAAATATCCAAAGGTAATGCTCAATACCTCCATGGCTCCTATTGTAAAATACTCTTAATGCCTGGCTTGAACGCTCCGACCCCCTCTATGAAAAAGTGTGTAGTGGCCTCTTGTGGATATTGCGTGGTAAGGCAGGTGTGACAGAAGAGGTACGATCATCCTTCCTTTAAAGAAATTGCGCATAATATGGCGTTCTTCGTTCAGTATTCCCCCGCTCGTTCAGCAACTGTTAAAAATTATGACAATGCTGAACGAAGGAACTGATGAGCTGAAGTTACGGGTGTTGCAGAATCCCTGAAATCAGAATAATGAAGATAATGAATCAGATAATGAAAATTTGGGTGTTTGGCAGTCCGCCTGCCCTTATGACCCAACTGCAGGGGTGCTGCAGCTCCTCCCACCTCCTATCTCTCCCATTTAGGCCTGTGAACTCCTGGGAAGCTCCAAAAGCCAGCCTGAAACAGCCGCCCCTCCTCACGAAGGGCCAAATGTCTGGGAAGGCCCAGCCCAGCCTTGCTCTAAGGTTACGCAAGATGCCCCTCTGCCAGTAACCTGGGGAGAAGAAGGCAGGAAGCAGGCCGGCCACATCGTGCTTCCAATCAGTTGTTCATTAAAATGGGTGCATTGCCCAAGATAAATGATCTATTTCAAATCAGAATTTACGAGAAATTCAGTCAGAATTTCTGACCAAACTTTACAAGGATGGCAAGACACTGTTAGTAAATTCATGTGGAGAGGAGAAAGACCCATGAATAAGCAAAACACTCTACAAAGACTTTAAAGAGAGTTGTGGCTTTGCCATTTTGAATTGTACCATGAAGATGTGGTGATTAGAGTTACCGTCAGAGTGTCTTAGTAGCTCCACTGGTGCCGAGAGTGATGGTAGGACCTTTTAGTAGGTAGGACCCTCTGCCAGATAAGCCAAAACGGTGGTGATGGTAGTAATGAAGGTAATCCTCATTGGGGATGAAGACAGGTGGGGCTCTATGGCTTTGAAGGAAGCTAACACAATCCACAAAGAGAGCCTTTTCTGTCATGATGCCCACCCTCAGGTACGTCATTCTCCCAGAGATTAAACTTGACCTTACTAGCTTTCCATAAGGCCCTAAAGGTCTGGTTCTGCTACTGAGCCAGGGATGTATGGTTGAGCCCATGGCATAGTTTTGCTAATTATAAGAGCTGTGGTGGTGCAGTGATTAGAATGCAGCATTGCAGACTACTTCTGCTGACTGCTGATTGCCAGCAGTTTAGCAGTTTGAATCTCACCAGGCTCAAGGTTGATTCATCCTTTCGAGGTCGGTAAAATGAGGACCTAGACTATTGTGGGCAATGGCTGACTCTGTAAACTACTTAAGAGAGTGTTGTAATGTGCAACGAAGCAGTATATGTCTGAATGCTGTTGCTATTCTGGCTGGTTTTATTTCAGCTGCTATATTTGCTATTTATTGTGTTAGTTATGAGGTTTTTATCTGTTTTGATCCCTTGTTAACCACCCTGAGTCATGTTTGAGATTAGCACAGTGAGGAGTAAGAATTTGAAAATCAAACTGGAAGAAAGCAATGTGAAACGGGTGTCTATATTGTAAGACCATCACTGTTAGTTTTATAATCCAGGAAACAATAATGTTTTACAAGCTTTATACTTATAAAGATGCAGTGATGGACAAACTGAATAGTTGACTAATTATAAGAGGTGCTAATATAAGAACATTCTTATATTAGTTCTGCTAATAGGTTTAGAAAGGCAAAGTATAGAGAAATGGAGGAATTTGAAATTATAGAGAAATGGTTTTGCAAAACTTTGTGAAGAGAATCTGTTTCCAGCATCTGCTCCAAGGATAAAAATAGCCTCTATACATGGACATCATCAAATACAAAACAATAGAATCATGTTAACCAGATAATAGGAAACAAAGAAGGAGAAATACAGTGTAGTAAGCCAGAAATTTCTGTGTGCAGATCGTGAAACAGACCACAAACTACTGGTGCCTTGTTTGCATAAATTAAATTTAGACAATTGAACAAGATTTGATTCAGTTAATTAGAATGTAAAATCAATTTAAAGAGCAAATTCAATATGTGAAAGAGAACTAGAAGAGCTATATAAGGAATTGAGACATGTAGTGAAAACCAAATTGCAAAAAATATCCCTAAAATTTAAAAGAAAAAAAAGTTCTAAATGGCTTTTAGAGCAAACTATTTAAATAACCAGAAAGAGATGAAGGATGAAAGTCTTGGAAGGATATATGGCAACCAAATGCACTCTTCTGGCACGAAGCAGGAGAAAACAAAGAAACATTCAATCCTTTGTGAACAGCTAAAAAATAAGAAAAAGAAAATGAGATAAGCTTTTAAGAAGTTCAGAGAAAAAACAGGAAACGTATGGCTAATGTAGGAGTAAACACAGAAGAAATCTAATAGAAGCGAAAGGTTATAAGAAAATGGAAGGACTGCACTAATACCTTTTATAGCTAAGATTTCAGAATGACAGATTTTTTTTTTAAAGAATACAGTCAGGAAGCTACTCCATGGGAAAGTGATCCATGGCAGGTAATAGGAAAGTAAGTGCAGATGAAATTGCCACTGAATGGTTTAAACTTGCAGAAGAGGCATTTTAAGTGCTAAAAGTGGACTTAAATATGAAGCAATATTCATTTGGCTCAAATACTGGTACATTCCAGAATAATAACTAAACCAGAAAAGGGGGATGCAAACGTATGTGTAAATGACCAAACAATTGCACTGATTTTTTAAATAAATTTTTTTACTTAAGATCTTACATGGAAGAATAGACCCACATGTGGGAAGATGATGAGATTTTTGTAAAAGAGAAATAAGCCAAATACGAGGAAAGGTGCAAGAGAATTCAAGAAGGAAGTTTATCTTTTGGTTTATCAACAGCAAAAATGGACTTATACCAGATTGGTGAATCTGCTGGAAATACGTTTTATTTTTCTGAGGAGTCCATAATATATGAGAAGAGCTGAGTTTGGGGGAACCGAATAAAATAGGAATGGAAAGGCAAACTTGGAAAAAATGGTGATAAGCATAAGACACTTCAATGACAGCAACCGTCAGAACAGCTAAAGCAGGGCTATCAAACTCCTGGCCCATGGGCCAGATGCATCATGCGCTGGCCGTGCCCATGCCCTGTTTAGTGAAGGGGGGAAAAGGTCCCGAACACGTCATGTGACACTGCCGTGACGACATGAGTTTGACACTCTTGACCTAAAGTAATGATCTCTGGTAAGATCAGTTGTGAAACTTGACTGTTTAGGAAGAGCAAACTATGGATTGGGAAATCATTACTAAGATAAAAATAAGGAGACCTAATTAATCAAATTTAGATCAAATAAAGACAGGCAGCTCTCCTGAGCTTGTGATATAAGCAGAAAAAAATGGGTGTGTGTTTGGCACAGCTGAATAAAATAAAAGATGGGAAGTTGGTTAAACAGGTTCAAGGAGATTGCAGAACCCTCCATAGAAAAGCTGTTGTTTACTACAGGTTGAGATATAGATGACTTGTCCATGCAACTACCAGAAGCACGTGACTAATCATTTAGCAATTTACACACTCCTCTAAGATGTTCTTGCCCTTAATCTTAAGTCACACTGTAAATATTGTTTTCAGTGCTATTTTAAAGGGCACCATTCACATTGATTCAAATTAGTATGTGCAAGGTGACTTTATTTATTTATTAATTTATAAAAGTACAACTTAGGTGTACTTTTACCCGAAACCAACTCCTGAATTGCAACAACCATCCAGGAGTTGTTTTCGAATTAGGAAATTATTTGTACATTGCAAGGAGTCTAATCGCCAAAGTTATGTGACTGGCCATAGCCTGTATGTACGTATCTTTCTTTTCAAATAAGATTCATCTTTCAGTTTTATAATTGCCTGAACACAAATTTATTCACATCTGTGACTCAATCTAACTCCACATTCAGTCTGAGATTTTCTCAAGACTAGTCGGGACAGACTATTCCTAAAGCTGAAGGTGTAAGTTGATCGGCTGGAATTCCTACAAATAGATCCAAGGTGGGTAGAGTCTTCAAGCAGCATTTTCTGCTTCGCTTTTTATGGGAATTTTCAAGTAACAGGCTTTATACAGTATTCTTTTTCTCCTGAAACTATGCTGTGCCAACTACCTGAGATTACAGGCTCCGAAACTGCTTTTGTGCTTCTGTGGTTTCGTAAAGAGGCTAATTCTACAATATATTTCAAGCGCTATTTTAACCTGCTACTTGAGGTTCATTCATGGTTTTTTCCCTCCTTCCAAACAGAAAACTTTTTAGAGCAAGAAGTCTCTTATCAGCAGTTTGTGGACAACCCAGCTATTATTGATGATCCTAACCTTGTGGTGAAGATTGGAAACAAGTGAGTACAGCTTAGCAGAATAAAATGTGCATTTTGTTTAAAAAACAAAAATCCCCACCGACAGGAATGCTTGAGAGCGAACAGGTTCGAAGAGATCTAGAGTGGCTTGAGCAATCGGTTGAAATTAACAAGATGGAACTTAAAAATGAGAAATTAAAGGTTCTGCACCTGGCTAAGAAAATGGAAGGCACAGTCTATAGCAGGGCTATCAAACTCCTGGTCCGCGGGCCGAAGGCATCACTCGCTGGCCATGCCCACGCGCAGTTTAGCGAAGGGGAAAAAAGTCCTGATACATCCTGTGATGCCGCCGTAATGACGTAAGTTTGAAACCCCTGGCCTATAGCTTAATGACCATTTGTTTAGTGATCAAAATTCATTGAAAAAATTATAGCCATGACCAGTTTTGGACGTTAACAACCATTGCAGCACCCTTGTGATCATGTGATCCACATTTGGGCACTTGGCACTCTGCCCATATGGAATATGCTTCAATTCTCTCTCCCTCCCCCACCTCTACCTTTTCAGATGGCCTGCTGCCCCTGCTGACCTTTGCCATCTTCTAAGTAATAGTAATAGCACTTAGACTTATCTAATTCTTTTATAGAATTAAGCGGTTTACAGCATCAATAAACTGGATCCTCATTTTGCCCATCTCGGAAGGCTGAGTCAACCTTGGGCCAATGAGGTTCAAGACTGAGCTATCGCTATTGCTAAAAGGGGGTTGCAGGGAGTTGAAGCCAAGACAGGCGTGCCATGGCAAGAGAAGCATGAGATCTTCACCCAACAACAGCACAGTCCTGGCCTAATGACCGCAACCAGGAGTATTAGAACTGCTATCATTAAGTGGTGCAATGGTGAGGTTATATGTAATGACCGCTTCACTTAATGATGAAAAGTTCCAGTCCCAATTTGGGTTGTTAAATGAGGACTATCTGTAGGACTTACAATTATTCATGGGAAAGGGATCTGGTCACCTTCAAGCCAGCAATGTGATGCAGCTGCTAAAAAGGCAAATGCTACACAGGAGTGATTTGCAGGATTATAGTGTCCAGATCATTGGAAAGAATTGCCTTGGTTTGACTCCCTATAAAATACTGTGTTCAGTTTGGTTCACAATAGTTCAAAAAGGACGGTGGCAAATTCGAGTGAGTTAAGAGGGAAGCCACAAAGATTAGTAAATAGTTCAGATAGCAAGCCACTCGAGCAATAGTTAAAGGTTATGTTTAACCTGCCCAAAAGATGTATAAGAGAAGATAGGATAGTAGCGTTCAAAATTTGAAAAGCTGTTACATTGAAGAGGGGGTAGAGTTATATTCTATAGCATTAAAAGGCAAGGCCAAAGCCAATTAGTTAAAAATATACACGTAGGAAGATCAGACTAGATATCAGATGGAATTCCTGATTGTATGAACTATGGAAATAAGGAGCAGAAAGAAATGATCAATTCTCATTTAAGAGCTGTGGTGGTGCAGTGCAGGCTGGTTCTGCTGACTGCCAGCTGTCAGCAGTTCAGCAATTTGAATCTCACCAGCTCATGGTGAACTCAGCCTTCCATCCTTCCAAGGTCGATAAAATGAGAACCCAGATTGTTGCTGGGGTAATAGGCTGACTCTGTCAACTGCTTAGAGAAAGATGTAAAGCAATATAAAGCGGTATATAAGTTTAAGTGCTCTTGCTATTTGCTAGTGGTTTTCACTTATAAGCTAGATTGTCATCTATCAGAGATGATCTAGTACAGCCTGCATTGCACAAAGAGATTTTGATCTGGTCCTTTCCAGTTCTATGATGCTGTTTCCATCATAGCAGACATAGTGAATGGATTTCTTTCAGAGAAATAAAACTCGACCAAGAATTGGTTTAATTTGCATTTTAATCTGAATTCACTTACCTGCACCAAAAAGGCACATCCTTCACCTTTTTAACTTGCCCATGTTAGAAAAATATTCATGCGAGTTTTATGTTAAAAAATATGCTGTAGAAATGCCTATTCTGAGGATTAAAAATTGATGAAATTAATTGAAGATTTTTTTGGGGGGGAAATAAAATGCTAAGTGAAATCTAATTTGATATCCATCTC